GCTGTCACACCCACTCTCAAAAGACCTGGACTCACACCTGACATCATGTCCAACTTCCGGCCCATCTCAAATCTCCCCTTTCTGTCAAAAATACTTGAACGTGTCATTGCCTCACAACTAAAATCCCACCTCAGCTCCAATGACCTCTTTGAGCCATTTCAATCCGGTTTCCGATCAAAACACAGCACCGAAACAGCTCTTCTGAAAATCACAAACTACCTCCTCCTCTCCTCTGACTCCGGCAACCTGAACATCCTCCTCGACCTCGCCGCAGCATTCCACACCATCAACCACACCATCCTGCTGTGAAGAATCAACTTCAAAGTCCTCAACAACCAGGCCCCCCTCTACCTCACAGACCTGCTGCACCACCACACCCCTTCCCGCTGCCTCCGCTCACACACTGCTTAAGTAATGGTAAGGTAATCATTAGGTAATGGGTAAGTACTCTTTTTGTATGCGTTACTTGAGTTTACCGTACCCAAACTGCCTAAGTAATGGTAAGTAATGATGACTTAAGCAGTAACACGTGAGTCAGATCCACATCCACCAGTCGATCCAGTGTGGGACCCAAGCCAGCCGAAGATGGCCGGTTTAAAAGTGCCCTGCTGCAGCGGACCATTGCTTCAGTCAAAGTCACCCAGGAACTCCTCATTAACTAACCATTAACGAATGATTCATTAATACAGTACCCCCCAGTCTGTTTGCAGTAACTAACCATCAGTTCTTCAATCGCAGTCACTCAGGAACTCCTCATTGACTAACCATTAACTATCTAGTCGTTCCTTATTCACTACCTTACCTTATTGTAAAGTGTTACCGAAATCTTAGAAACGGATTGAAGGAATTTCTTCAAATTTGGCACAACAGTCAACATGAACTCAAGGATAAACTGATCATACTTGGGGAATCAAGGTCACTATCGCCACACAATATACATTTTTGGTATAACTCTAATCATGACCCTTTTCAAACAAATTTCTAATAAGAAAAAAAGATTTAATGAGCACCTTTTGGAGGATATGGATGTCAACTGGTACTGGATCTGGTTGGAATACAACCACTAAGTGTTAACCAAGCTTAAAACAAATGATTAAAATAAGACATTTTTTTACTTTAGCAACAAAATGTTTTTTAAGCTTGGAACTGTTTCTGACCTGAGAGGTTGCAAAGCAGAATAACGCGTTAGGAGTTCCTAAATTTTAAGTGATCTCTGCAATTGTTTGTGAGTGTTGCTGCTTCATTCGACCCACTGTAGACGGACAACTGCTGCAGCGTTCACGCAATGATGAATTACTGTAGTCTAAGAGAGAGGAAATAAGGGTGTGGATGACGTTTTTGACTCAAAAGCAATGGTTTGACCAACGCTCCCCATAAACACCAATATTACAATATTACAGCAACAATGCTCATCTACATCGGACAAAACTCTTTCATGTTCTGTTTGAGGCTGAGATGCTGATCAAAAACAAATCCCACGTTTATAGCCGATTGTTTAGATTGTTAGTGGTTCAAAGTGGAGGGGGGGGGGGGGGACTTTTGGAAATGATGAAGACCAATAACTAGTGTGTAATCATGTTTTTTCACTTTCGGAATTTTTTTAACGGATAGAGATTGTGAGCATTTACTCAGCCTTTCAGTGGGAAGGGATGTCCAGATAAGGTAAATGTCTCAATTTAAAAATAATAACAAGAATAGAAAGACGTTGAACATGAACAGCACTATGAGGCTTCCCGAATAGAAATCTGGTGTGAGCGATGGGGTCTTTCTTTTGAGGATAGGGGAGGAAGAGGGTTCAGGTAGCCTGAGTGACATGTGTGATGCATGTTGTGATGTAAATAGTCAAATTTGGAGAACAGAACAGCATGCTGCAAGTTAGCAACAAGTATGCAACTACCTATTCAGATAAATACTTTTAAGTTTTTTCTATTCAGAGAGGCACTCCCAGAGCAATTCAGAGATGCAAGTAGAACCAAAATGACCAAAAACCCAAGAGTCCTTTTTTTTTGCAAATCATCCAAGAGCTGTCTGAAACATTCGTGGCGTTATTAATGTCTCCTTTTGCTTCAAGGCAGTCATGGAATAGTTTTGAGATGTTTTGATGCTTTAAATCGTCTTTCAGGAGATTTGTATGCCCAATTGTCTGGAAAGGTTCCTCCACTCAGAGACAAACGCACCCTGTGATCTAAACCAGTAAAAGCACTGAATGAAACAGTTCTCCATAAAAAGTAAGAGTTCTGCTATCCAGAGAGCTGATGCAAGTCTAGCTGTCTGAAACATTTACTTAACTCGTCAATCAGGGAAAACCTTAAATTCTACAAACCCTACGACTAAAATCCTTTATTCAGTTAAAAGATGGTTAAAAACAACAAAAGTCCATAGTCATAAGTAGCGTCTTCAAACTGAACAAGGAGCCTATCTATGATAGTATTTTGAGGCGTCTCGGTGTGTCAGACAGAACGACCTCTTCTGTCTGTATTAAGCTCTGCAGTTACAGAGCAGCGTCCATTACTCCACATGTAGTCAGAGAGCATTCACATGGGCTCTGGTCCTTGGTGAATTGCTGCTGGTGTGAGAATAAACCTGAGCATGGATCTGTGACCATTGACCTCGGTTTTAGTCTGGAAGGCTAACCTATACGGCCTCCCAGAGAACGGGGCATATTGAATAAGTCATGAGACAGAGCAGGTAGCCGATCCATGGGGAGAACCCTAAAGCTAAATTGGATCCTCACTAAGCCCTCCTATCTCATATGTGACTGTATTTGAAAATGCACACATACACACACACAAATACATTCATATGAGATAAACTAGAAAATGGAGTGCTTGGTCATAGCTATTTAAGCGACCCTATTGTGCTTTTGGGGTTTTCTCTCCCACACTCCCCCCCCCTGCCTGAAACGCCTCAATTGGAATCCTTTGTTTTCTTCCGTAACATAATGACATCACTATGTAACACTTGCACTTCTATTGGGTAATGATATTTCTGACATCTCTAAGCAGTTGACCAATCACAACTGGCCAGCTAACCAATCAGAGCAGACTGGGCTCTGGTTTCAGACCGAGGGTGAAAAGAGGTGCTGCAGCACAGGCAGTATGAGAACAATAAAGGGCTTTTTGAACATTAAAGCATGGAAACGAGGGGTTACGGATGGTAACCCTTGTTATATAAGCACAGGCGGAGCCCTCTACTGTACTACCTCTCAACCATACTATGCGAGCATTCATCAACTGAGACATCTATAACCGTAGCCGGCCCCCGGGGCGGGCCAACCTGAATGCATGCACAAGCCCACCGTATACAAGGCGGCCACGCCTCCCGTTCCCGTCATCCTATACTTCTCTTCTGCGAGCAGCATAGGACAGACACAACAAGTCCTCCAACTCATACGACCAAATGGGCCGATTGTTCAGGCCCTTATTACGACCAAATATGTCGTTTGTTCTAACACTTAATAAGTCCTATAATTACGTTTTAAAGTTTTCACCCTCTAGTGCTCCCGTTGAATACTAACGTTACAGATGGTCGTTTATTCACAATAACCCTCTCTGTAAAATCCTAAATTGTGGGTAGTTTTGCCATTAAAACGCTTTTTTGATTAGATTTCTAGCGAGAAGTGTATATTGTACTTTTAGACATTCCACAGTCCAGTCGATATGTAGGAATCTATAGTTTTGATAGATATTAGGAAGACTATTTGAGGTATGCGGCAGCCTCCCATGTAAAGTTACGGGTTGAAAAACAGTATTTATAGGTCTCAACGTTTTCATAATAAAACCAATGAATTCATCAACTGAGAATATCTATAACTCAGTTGGATTTAACAACGATATCTGCAGTACTCATCAACTAAAAAACATCAGAAAAAAACGAAATACGTGACGTGGGATCATAAATATATTAGCAATTAAACAACATCTTCCATTTCTTTTCACACCATACGGTCTCCTTGCAGTATCAACACTTAATTGGCTGACTTTTATATTTGATCCAATTGGTAGATAGGTTATATTTACACCATAACGGTGCACAGCTGATAGAAAGGGGATTTTTTTGTAATTTTTAAAGATATTATTTACTGAACTACCTACTTCTTTCCAACTCCTCATGCCAGTTTACTGTTTACAGGTTTATATAGGTTCATGGGTACAATGCATAAGCTTCAAATCGAGGAGAGTAAACTATATTTTTCCTTTACCGTTCTGTTTTATAATTTCACAATAAGTTAATAGTCATATTATGATTGATATTATTATGTTTTAATTACTACACCACTGGTGTTTTACTCGCACCGCCTAAGTGGTTAAAGCACTTTATTGCATTTTGTTGTTGAAATACGTTTTATTTGATTGAAAACATTTAAAATATTAAGAGTGGACCTACATACCAAAATTGGGGGAAAGTAAA